TTCGTGGACCTGACGAAAGCCTTCGACACGGTGAATCGTGAAGGACTGTGGAAGATCATGCAGAAATTCGGCTGTCCGGAGCGATTCACTCAGATGGTGCGTCAGCTGCACGACGGTATGATGGCGCGAGTCACGGACAACGGTGCTGTCTCAGAGGCATTCGCAGTGACCAACGGAGTGAAGCAGGGATGCGTGCTGGCACCAACCCTCTTCAGTCTTATGTTCTCTGCCATGCTGATGGACGCCTAACGCGACGAACGCCCTGGAATCCGCATCGCCTACAGAACGGACGGTCATCTCCTGAAACAACGGCGCATGAACTTCCAATCGCGCGTATCCACAACTACCGTGCACGAACTCCTCTTCGCCGACGACTGCGCCCTGAACACCACCTCCGAAGCGGAGATGCAACGGAGCATGGACCTATTCTACGCCGCCTGCGAGAACTTTGGGCTAGTCATTAACACGCAGAAGACGGTGGTGATGCACCAACCGCCGCCCAACTCAACCACAGCCGCCGCAAATCAGCGTGAACGGAAATCAACTGCAAGTGGTGGAGAACTTCCCGTATCTGGGCAGTACCCTCTCCCACAACACCAAGATTGATGACGAAGTCGCCAGCAGGATCTCGAAAGCCAGTCAAGCCTTCGGTCGTCTCCGAAACACAGTTTGGAATCGCCATGGTCTCCAACTGAGCACGAAGCTGAAGATGTGCAAGGCCGTCATCCTGCCGACGCTACTGTACGGAGCAGAGACATGGACGGTGTACACGAGACAGGCACGCCGACTGAATCACTTCCACCTCAGTTGTCTCCGTCGCATCCTGAGGCTGAACTGGCAGGGCCGCATCCCTGAAACCGATGTGCTGGAACGGACGGGAATCCTCAGCATCTACGCCATACTGAAACAAATGCAGCTGCGCTGGAGCGGCCACCTGGTGCGCATGGACGACGAGCGACTACCCAAACGACTCTTCTACGGAGACGTCGCGACGGGTTCTCGTCGTCAAGGAGGCCAAATTTGCCGTTACTAGGATACTCTGAAGTCCTCCCTGAAGCGCCTGCAAATCAACCCGACCAACTGGGAAGAGCTCGCTCGCGATCTTCCGACATGGAGGAGAACAGTGAAGACGGGCGCTGCTATCTATGAAGCCAACCGAATCGCCGCCGCCAAAGCGAAACGCGAAGCCCGCAAATCACAACTTCGCCCAGTCCGCAATGCCGCCGCACAACCGCTCCCAACGTGTCCTCGATGTCAACGGACATTCCGGGCACGAATCGGACTTGTTGGACATCTCCGAACCAACTGCACCTCTCGAACTGCTCCAGCCATCGTCCCCCCGCCCGCCCCTTCCTCCTCTCTTCCGCCAACTAACTCTGACACTCCTTCTGCACCTCTAATTCCATCCTCCTCGTCCTCGTCGTCCTCCTCCCTCTCCACTGCCCCAGCGGAGGCCGTTCAGACTGCTGTCTCACACATCACCAACACCAACACACCAACCAACATCACCTCTCCCACCTCTCCGGATACCACTGATGAGGATCAGGACTACACCTGCCCTCACTGTGACCGCACCTTCACCTCAAACATCGGCCTGGTCGGTCACTTGCGAATCCATCGCACAGAGACTGGCGAACCAGTGCCTGGAGCACCAACCTACACCCACCGCACTCGCCTCCACTGCCCACAATGCCCTCGCACCTTCACGCATCGCATGGGTCTATTCGGCCACATGTGCATCCACGAGAGCGGAATTGACCGCCGCCTTGACACATCCACCCCGCCGAGCCCCACTCCCAATCCACCACCTTGTGCACCCACTAACCACTCCCCAGCCGACATCGACGCCACCGACCTTACCACCCCTCACTCCTCCCCTTCCGCCTCCTCTTCCTCCACCACTGCCACAACGACGGCCGCTTCGGCGTCTGTCGCCCACGACTTCACCACAGCCGAACCTTACACAACAACAGGCACAAGCCCTGCAACCTCCATCATCAGACGTGAGGGCCAGCACTTCATCTGCCCTCACTGCGATCGCACCTCCACTTCACGCATCGGCCTGGTCGGTCACTTGCGAATCCATCGCACAGAGACTGGCGAACCAGTGCCTGAAGCACCAACCTACACCCACCGCACTCGCCTTCACTGCCCACACTGCCCTCGCACCTTCACGCATCGCATGGGTCTATTCGGCCACATGCGCATCCACGAGAGCGGCATTGACCGCAATTCCGATACAGCCACGACATCCAACACGCCCAGGCCCATCCTCGCCCCACCGTCACACGCGCCGACCACCACCACCGCCACCACCAACACCACTGCTTCCTCTACAGCTGACACCGGCACCGCCAACCTCTCATGCCCACATTGTCCACGCACCTTCACCTCACGCATCGGCCTGGTGGGTCACTTGCGAATCCATCGCACAGAGACAGGCGAACCAGTGCCTGGAGCACCAACCTACACCCACCGCACTCGCCTTCACTACCCACACTGCCCTCGCACCTTCACGCATCGCATGGGTCTATTCGGCCACATGCGCATCCACGACGACCTGCGGTAGACAACCGCCGGTCACACCACACATTCCCTCACTCCCTACCTCCTAACACCATCACCCCACCAGACATCAACCCTCACACACCGCATGCACTCAACTGCCGCCTCCCACGCAAGTGGGAAGTGTGCATCTCGACTCGGTCCCCATGCGGTTTCGGCTGCACGGGTGACTGTGTCCGAGACTATCCCGACACGTCAAGTGTCGTGGATAGGAAGGTTGATGATGGACGCCAGCTCTCGGTTCACGCAGCTCGTCACGTTGTGTGTGTGTTGTGTGTAGTGGCGGACTGGTGGGCTGGGGATGGGCTGAAGCAGCACCTTCCACGGCCCTCTCACGCAAGTGAGAGACACGCCGTTCAACCCCCGTTGTGTGAAATCCTGGTGTTTGTGTGTGTATGGGGGGCCAGGTCGTGCTGTGGCGTGCGCAGGCATGGTCAATCGACCATGTCAGCCACCGCGCCCATTCCCCACTCCAGTCTACTGACCGGCTCGGACAGTGGCTGGGGTGTGGGAATGGGAAGGGAGAGTGAGGTCGACGACTCAGCGCATTTTCCTCACTATAATCAATCTGACGCGCTTGAAGCTATCACGGTGCGCTAAAAGCCGTGGCTTGGAAGGTTGCCAACTGACGGGGTACCTTGGAGCTCCTCCTTAACGGGAGGCGGTCTGAGAGTCAGGCTGCAATGGCTCCTTTTTAATGTGGCCTTTATGGCATTCCCACCACAGTGTGGGATCCGAGCCAGACGTTGGCGGCACGCCCAGGTGCGGCTTCGGCCGTGCCAGCCTCCAAATCTCTGTTGTGTTGGTTGAAATCCTGGTTATTGTTGTGTGGACCAGGGGGTGTGGTGGAACGCCAAGGTGAGAATCCGTCCGAGCCATCCACCTGCGGCCTTCCTCGTCTCCGGTCTTCTTGACTCTGTCTTGACACCGGGCACAGGCGGGGGAGGAGGAGAGAGTGTAGGTAGATGCAGCGCAAGTCTACCGGCACTATAAACCCCTGCGCAAGTCACCGTCCCTGCTCCCACAATGCAGTCTGTGGGGCACACGGTGGTCATCGTCGAAATCGACGGACGAACTGTCGTGTGTGTGTGTGTGTGTGTGTGTGTGTGTGTGTGTGTGTGTGTGTGTGTGTGTGTGCTTTATCAGTAGTGCGACTGTTTGGGTCGGCGACTGTTTGTTTACCCAATCTCGAAGGGTGACTGTCCAGGCCAAATGCAGGGCCGAGTGTCGCCGTTCTAGGTCTGAAAGCGCGTGCTTTGCCAGTATTAGCAAACCATGGCCCTTGCAGCCTGACACCTGGTTCTCTATCGGCAGATGTGCTTGCGCTCCCGCTGCGTATACAGGTGGTGGGCATGGCTGCCCAGTCGTCCTCGTCTTCTGACTCCTGTTGGGGTGTTGCTGTTGTTGATGAAAAATCCTCGTCAAGTGTTTGTTGTAGACCATGGGGTTTGATGGCGCGCCTAGGTGCGGGTCCGGTCGTGCCGGCCGCCCGAGCCCTCGCCCGCCTCCGGTCTTCTTGACTCTGTTCTGACACAGGGTCCAGGTCGGGAGTGGGGAAGAGCGAGTGCGGTAGATGCTGCGCAAATCTAGTATCCCTATAAACTAATTAACGCGCAAGTCGCCGTGCCTGCTGCTCCTACCTCTGTGGCACACGGTGAAAATCGTCGGAATCGACGGCCGAAATGTCGTCCTGAGGCACTGCCGCACGAACGATCAGACCCACAGCTTGTCTGTCTTCTATCGATTGTGTTCATTATTGTCATTCCGATGACGTTAGTATTTCACCTCTTAATGGTCAAGAGCATTACTGACCTGGTTATCGGTGCCGCAAAGCGTTGAGCCATCTCCAATCCCACTTTATTTGGGGCCATGTTTAAGGGATTATTTCTTTTTGAGCCTCTACCGCCGTCAACTGAAGCCAACCACTTATTAAACATCGCTTAGTGTGCATGCTGCCAGGAGAAAAAGGAGACAAATGCACGTGGCCAGTCTTTATGCTCTAGGAAGTGTTGACTGCCAAATTCGTGTGTGACAGATCAATCAAACGAAACACTGATTTCCAGGCCATTCAGAACAGATACCAACTTTACTGGTTTTCGACTAGTCCTTCTTGGATGCCGTGTTTACAGTGGATGTGCTATCCCATGAAATGGTAACCAAAATTCTGAAATGTGTTTTCGACTCGAAAAGACTGTCTAAGCGGATTTGTAAGTCATTACCTTGCAGCGTACTTCCAAGAAATTTCAGTCACGTCCGTGTGCCGGACTTTGGACATGTTTCTTTCCGACCACCTGCAAAAACGACATCCTGCAAAATATGACTACTTAAGCAGTATGAGCCTTCTTATTGATTTTCGATGCCGTTAAAAAAGTTACGTATAATTTATAGAAAACCTGTACAAAAATATTCGTTTTATTACTCGTTTGGTAGCAAATTATGTCTTCTTCAAATTTCATTCTTGAGGAAAGAGTTACTTCTAGTTTTAAAAAGCCTCTTACCGTAAATTTCTTACGACCATGATATGTCCACTCGTAAAGCATTTATGAGTGCTGCTTGCAAAGCATACAGTATAGTTCAAGTCTATTTCAAAACTTTAGGAACCCCACATGATATCTTCTCAGTAGCATGTAGAAATGTATGATTTTCCTTACATGCAAACGATATAGCTAGCAATTTAAAAACACCGAATGTAAGTGTAACGACAAGTCGCGTTCACCTAAGTAGTAATTTTTGTAGGGTATAGTTTTTTCAGACAGCCGGATAGACGTTCGTTTAAAAGCCCACATGCTGACACGATTTAAACATCTGTGGGATTCTGGTGCATGAATATTAAGATCACTCTCCAACTTAAGTTATCTCTACGAACCGATAACAAATTTCGGAGTTTCAGTCAACTCTTCAGGAGGTAGCGCATCTACTGTAATCGGTAGATAGGAACGAGAAAATGCAGGCATGTTACCGGATAAACCTTTTGCGTCGCGTGATGGCGGACGTCTGCAGCCGACGCATCAGGTATTTCGTGTCTCACCTGCATATTCTGATTAAGGTAAGAGTCTCCGTCTCATCGTAATTACCCTGTGTGTCGTTGTAATCCGACGTAACAGTAGCAAATTCTGCGCATATCAATGGCGAATGACAATCTTTTTAGTCTTCTTTTGCTAATTTGACTTAGTTCTGACGAAGAAGAAAAAGATGCGAGCACAGGAACAAGAAGTCTATTGGCCTGACGTTTCGGATTCTCACTCGAACCCATCATCAGAGACGGTTGCAGATGACACGAGTCAATATTGACATCTCCGATCAACTGCTTCACAAAGGACTGAAATCCTTTCGATCGAAGGATTGGCGGCCTCATTTAGTCAGAGGTGCATTGAAGCACAACTGTGTCGGGGTTTCTTCAGCGTACGGGTCCTTTCCTTCCCATTTCCGCTTGCGGGTGCCCACTGGCATCGGCGAATTCTTGCCCACTCCCAGTGTCTCCTACTGTCGTATATGTGTGATTTTAGACCTCAGCATGTCTGTCGTCTCCGCCAACTGGCGGTGGTCATTACCGGGCCGTTGATTTCTTGCTTAGTCCTGTGGAGCAACTTTGTCAGATAGTGTTAGTGGTTGCCATGCCATCTTGGTGGAATAAATGCGAGGTGGGCGAATTTTGCGGGAAGACCAGCCGACGTCAGTTTCGGGTAGTCAGAAAACAATTTATTGGTGGGCACCAAGGCCGCTGCCCGTAAGTGCCCGCCTCTCTACGACCCACCTCTCTCTCTCTCTCAGCCGCCCTTTAACTACCAGGCCGTCCCACCAGATGACGCGTCACAACCAGCATCAGAATCTACCTGGCGTGCCCGTCCGCCCCGTTTCCTGGCACGCCACCTATGCAGGCCGCATAACTGAACGTCCTACCTACAGGAGACCTCTTCTTCAGTTCAAAATTGACTAGCCTCTGAGCCCTGTCTTCCTCCATTCTGACTTGAAGGCGGGCTTAGCCAATTCAGCAAACTGGTGGTCCCGATAAATAGAGTAACTTTGCGATAATGCAATGACCTTATTCTGTTCTTCATTATTTTGTTTGGGCACGGTTGTAAGTACCCTCACCTGTATTACAAGTTTACTTGCGCTAAATTCCATCAAGGCTGATTTCAAGGTTGAGAGTGGTACTATGATCTCGAAAGTTAAGACTTGGAGGGCTGGCGTTATGGTGAATGTTAAGGCTACTGTGGATAGTACTAGGGTTGGAATTAGAGTCAGGACAAAAGTTAGGCTACAGAAATAGGCACCCCCCGGAAGTTAGCGCAAGGCCACGGGGGTCCTTCTTCTCCTATCCAACCAACATTTGTCCCAAAAGCTTGTTAAGTCATTTAGGCAAAATCCGCCGAAATTAAATGGAAATATCAATGCCTGAAAGCCTCTTTGGTATTTTCCTACGTAAATCACTGATGAAAAAAATCAGTGTAATATCCGGAAGATTTTTCAAAGTCCATTAATCAGCGCAACCGTGACCGCGTATTTCGCAGCACAGCCTAAACTATTGCGTGACTCCTGTAAAGCGTTACTGTGGCAAGGAGCATCCAAATTGAAGAAGTCAAGTTCAGAATGTTATTACGGACAAAGACAAGGAAGACTGGAATGGCCATTTCCGGCTTATTAGCCGTCGTCAGCCAGTCATACCCAACCCCGAAGTGTGGAACACCTGAGGCTCGAACTTATGGCCTGTTACAAAGTTCGGCAAGTTTGGTCAAGTGCGGCAAACGTACGTTTGCGATCATTTACCCTCAAGCCTGTGCTGTAATATGAGGGTGTTAGGGTGAAGCAGCGCCAGTTAAGACAGCCAATGAACAGTGGTCATGGGGAGATGTTTGAGGGCGTTCACACACGTTGGGATAATCATAGTCTTATACCTCGGGGGCGCGGGGAGGGGAAAGGGGTTCTCTTTAGCGCAACGTGGTAGCATGCGTGAACGAACATGCTGGACTCATCTTCGGCCAGGGGAGCGTGGGGGCTGGCAAA